ATACAATAATACTTAACCAAGGCAATTGATTCATAATGAAAAATATATCCATTTAAAATAAAGAATATTGAAGAAAAGAATATTCTTAAAAATCTATGATTCATTCAATTTTTTTAAAAATATGTACTTCCTCTTCTTCTTCTTCTTCTTCTTCTTCTTCTTCCTCTTCTTCTTCTTCTTCTTCCTCGTCTTCTTCTTCGTCTTGTTCGTCTTCTTCTTTTGGTGGTTGTTGTTGTGGTTATTCTTGTTGTTGTTGTAGTTGTTGATGTTCAGGTCCACAACGTGGAGCACGGCTATGGCGCTGGTTGTTGTTGTGGTTGTTGTTGTTGTTGTTGTTGTTGTTGTTGTGCAGGTCGACAACGTGGAGCACAGCAACTGCGCGCAGGTAAGTACCGCTGAGGCAGGTATGGTCTCCGCCCCTCTTCTTCTTCTTCGACAGCGTAGAGCACGGCTATGGTGCCCAGGTGGTTCTTCTTCTTCTTCTTCTTCTGCTTCTGCTTCTGCTTCTGCTTCTTCTGCTTCTGGTTCTTCTTCTTCTTCTTCTTCTTCTTCTTCTTCTTCTTCTTCTTCTTCTTCTTCTTCTGGTGGTGGTTGTTGTGGCTTCTTCTTCTTCTTCTAGTGGTTGTTTTTGTTGTTGTTCTGCAGGTGGACAGCGTGGAGCACGACTATGGCGCCTAGGTGGTTGTGGTTCTGGTTGTTGTTGTGGTTATTGTTGGTGGTTTTGTTGTTGTTGTTGTTGTTGTTGTTGTTGTTGTTGTGCAGGTTGACAGCGTGGAGCACGGCTATGGCGCCCAGGTAAGTACCACTGACGCAGGTATGGCTTCCGCCCCTCTTCTTCTTCTTCGACAACGTGGAGCATGGCTATGGCGCCCAGGTAAGTACCGCTGCCGCAGATATGGCCTCCGCCCCTCTTCTTCTTCTTCTTCTTCTTCTTCTTCTTCTTCTTCTTCTTCATGTGGTTGTTGTTGTTGTTATTGTTGTTTTTGTTGTTGTTCTTGTGCAGGTCGCCAGTGTTGAGCACGGCTATGGGACCCAGTTAAGTACGGCTGACGCAGGGATGTGTTGTGGTTGTTGTTGTTGTGCAGGTTGCCAATGTGGAGCACGGCTATGGCGCCCAGTTAAGTACCGCAAACTCAGGTATGGCCTCCCCCCCTCTTCTTCTTCTTCTTCTTCTTCTTCTTCTTGTGGTTGTTGTTATTGTTGTTGTTGTTGTTCAGGTCGCCAGCGTGGAGCACGACTATGGCGCCTTGTTGACGCAGGTATGTGTTGTTGTTGTTGTTGTTGTACACGTTGCCAGTGTGGATGTACAGGTCGCAAGTGTGGAGCACGGGTATGGCGCCCAGTTAAGTACGGCTGACGCAGGTATGGCCACCGCCCCTCTTCTTCTTCTTCTTCTTCTTCTTCTTCTTCTTCTTCTTCTTCAGGTCGCCAGTGTGGAGCACGGCTATGGCGCCCAGTTAAGTACTGCTGACGCAGGTATTTGTTGTTGTTGTTRTTGTTGTACAGGGCGCCAGTGTGGATCACGGCTATCGCGCCCTGTTAAGTACGGCTGACGCAGGAATGACCTCCGCCCCTTTTCTTCTTCTTCTTCTTCTTCTTCTTCTTCTTCTTCTCCTTCTTTTTCCCTACTAGGAAGTAATGGAATAACAAATCCTGCGAAGATGGGAAATAATACAATAAAACTTAACCAAGGCAATTGATTCATAATGAAAATTATATCTATTTAAAATAAAGAATATTGAAGAAAAGAATATTCTTCAAAATCTATGAGTCATTCAATTTTTTT